GGCTATGGCAAAATTCTGATTTTATTTTGGACTCTCATATAACCCAACTCTCTTTCCACATTTATAGTCGCCTGAATTTGCTTGGATCATCCAAAGCCATTATTGTTACTGTGGCACAATACTTAGGGCAGGGCTGCCATTGTAGCATCGTGGTAGAATCCCATTTTCACTTAGTACTTACCACACTGCTAGTCTAATTTTGGCATGCCCTTATGACTTGGTCTCAAGAGAATGCAGTTCTCAAAAATCTGGCCAATTCATTCATTTACCTGCACAAGCACACACGCCTCCTTTATTGTGCACTAAAAGTCCAACCCTGTGTCTCCTTTGTGCGAAAAAAGGCACACTGTAAACGTGCACAGATTTCTTTGTGTTCAAAGCGAGCTACATGAAATGGAAGAGTAATTGCAGTAAAAGAAAGTAAGCCAACTTCCCAAAAATATACCAGCGGAATGTAAGTGATAAAAATTTAAGAGTCATCAAGAATCTTTGGATTTCGCTGCTATCCAAACCCGATTTTAACATCATATTACCTTAAACATGCAAGCATCTCTTCAAAGTAGCACCGATGAACACAGGTATAAAACAATATACTCACAACTGAGAATTTCTATAGCGTTGTTTCTTCCAGTTATGGATCGAACCCATCCTTCGGTCTCGTCGACAGAATTTTTGGCCCCTCCGAATCCGCATGGCACGTTCCATAGCAGTACGATGCACTGTTGGCCGAGGTGTCGTGATGGAAGTTGGAAGAATGTGCTGTGGAGGCAAAAGCGTTGGATGCGCCTACTTCCTAATAAACATACCCATCTATCAAAGCAGTTTGAACCAAATTATCGTACTCACTAACAGCGTGAGCGAGGTTCTACTGGAAAAGAAATGACCTGCATAAGCTTGAACAAATGCAACACAGGGAAACATTAAAATGTGGCGAATAAGAGAATTCAATGTCTCTTCCGATAAAAAGCGTAAAAAACTAAAGGATTGAGGGCTATTATGTTCAAAATTGCCACAATTAATTCAGAACGAGAAAGTTTATCCTTCCCGTATGGTTCAAAAGCCGCGTAATAAACACCAAATTTTGCTCGCTAGAATGAAACTGTAATCTCTCAATTGCACATTGTCGTTGCGTTTGTAGGACCTGTTCCTCTATTGCACTGAGTGGATTCTTGCTTCTCACTTCCGCATAACTCGATGCGCAATTGGAAACTGAGTGTAACAGAATGCATGCATCAAAATTTGCAGCTACTACAAACACCTCAATTTACCGACACAGGTAGAATTACAGTAGCATTTTCATCTTCAGAATGTCTTGTTTTTCGTAATATTGCGAAATCAGATCGTTAACTGACTGAACAAACAAGGTGGAGCGAATGCAACTGATATGAGATCGGGTGACGTAGCATTCCTCCAAAGCTACACCCAAGTCGTATCTTCGATGGCATCCACTAACTTTCCTTCTTGTAGGCATCGTTTTCATTTCCACATTACACTTGAAATAAATTTTGCTTGGTTTCACATGGACAGCTTCATACTCAGCACAACTCCTACGCCCACCAATGTGTGTGCGCGTTTGCCCATATCTTTATAGTTTCAATTAGTTCATGAGCCATCTTTAGGACGGTTTATATAAGGTCGGACGTTTTTTATTAACCAACCGCGACAAAATCAACTCAAACACGACTAGACTTAGACGTCTGTTTGTCAATTTCTTCATCTTACACAGCTGTTCATTGAGTTCTGGGCGCTATGATTGATTTGTGATTCCCATGCTTGCACGATTCATCCTCGGATTCGTAGTCTGGGATACTTTACGATACAGGCAACATAGCTTCCTTTACTATGAGCTTGAACTACACCACACTTCGGTCCGTGATTCCATGGAGGTGGGAATTTGCTCCTTCAGATCGATCAACTCAAATATTTTCACAGAAAGCATTTGACAATGAAATCTAATTTTTAACCAGCTACCATAGAAGCTGCCATCAATTTAGTCATTTCCGTCTATATGACGAGGTCTCGACTAAAAATCGTTCTAATATTTTTAAATGCTTGTACCTTATCTATTTCTACTTGTAATTTACAAGTAGAAAGTATTATTTATTCATTTGTATTTTATATTAATAGAGTTTTGTCATCAAAATTCTAGTAGAGACTAAAGTATCTTTCGTTTGCAAAGCTTCGCAATTAGACTATTAAATGTTATGACTAGGGCTTCCATCCAATGCCGAGTATGGAACCCCAAAAACTCAAGTACGCTCAAATTGCGGAAGTACAGTAAAACTTATTGGACTTCCAGTGCTATGGTGAAATAATCCAAGAAATTATTCTCATATCTGCATAATTTTTAGGAATGTAATCATAGAAATGAATCGTCAAATTTTTTAAAGTTGCGTCTGAGCTTTATCGTAGAGGTTTATATGCATTCACATTAAAAACCAGACTGTGACGGTTAACTGATTAATGGATAAAATTGTGATTGCAATGAAGCCTATTTTCCGATCTAAATCCCGTAGTGGTTTGTGTTTCCAAAAGAATGTAAATATTTAAATTATTGGCTGATAATGAAGTATCACTTAGTCCAAGACGGAGTAGTAGAAGTTTGGCTTAAATGGATGAAAATGTCCTTGTTAATAATGGTAAAGTGCCAGACATGACTAGTAGGTAGAGCCGATTGATTGTTGCTCAAAATCCTACCTGTGCATCCCTCATACCCGCGTGAATGCAAACGCAATTCTCTACTTGGGTTTTGATTGGCCTCTGGTGCTAATCAATCGCTAATTCTTCGTCCAATCAGAACAGCAAAGTCGCTTCGTCTGTACACTCGTGCCGTCCAATGGGCACGTCAAAGTGGGAAGCGCCTATTCTTCAAGCGACAAGATTTAACCTACACAAGTGCTAACACGGGAGATATAATCGTTTTCTAAAGTTTTGATATTTGGTTTAGCAACTTATCTTGCTACTTGGTCTGATTTGTCATGGATTGAAACCACTCAAGTAAGCTGATAAAATTTAATAGGCAGGCGTCTTTTATTAGGAAATGTGTAAATATTAAAACTTTTGTTTTAGATTGTCTAGTTTATGTGAATTATGGAAGACATGTATTTGGCATTTTTGGCTAAAAGGCAAATAGTCTTGATTTTTTGATTTTTTAATTTGCCAAAATCAAATCTATCTAAGGTGAAGGAAATGTTCGGTTCTCCTGACGTCAACACTTTGAGTCATTTTTTTAATTCTGTAATTTTGCACTTGAAATAGACGGTCTTCATTATCCACTTAATTTGCACCAATCATGTCACCTTTCCCAAATGGCGAAACCTGTGTATTTTGAGAAACATGCATCAGCTGGGGCATACGGAGGCAGCTAGTTATGCCAACTTTATAAAAAAACTTAAAGCAATAAAGAGGATTTTACATGCATCTGGAGTTTTATTTCACGACACCCATTTCTGCAATGTGCGAGCGCTGGTTGCTTGTTGGCTCTAAAAATTAGTAGCTGATCTGAAAGTGGATGCAACCTGAATGCTCATGTCCCTGCTGCTAATATTTGTGATGTAAAGGTTAAATCATTATAGACAGCATTACCCATATTGATAAAGAGTTCTATTTTAATAAAAGGAACTTCGTTTCGGCTCAGAACTGAAGTAAATTGCTTTTCCCTATAAAGAATCATTCATAGAAATTGGTGCTTTACGAGTCCGTTTAAGAGAACGACTCCCTTGTTCTAGTGAAAGCAGTTTTGCGATGCAAACTGAACTAGATGGCAAGCAGCTGTCCTCTCTGGGAAGCAAATGCACAGATAGAGAGTTCCAGTCTTTCTAGACCTTTTGGATTGCAAAGAAGTTTCAATTGTTCAAGTAGGTTTGATGAAACCATTGATCGGTGAGTTTCACTAGTGATAATGTCACTTGACAGAGTTTTGTAGTCTACTTCATTACACAAGTCTAGTCATCTGCGGACTGCCTCTACATTCGCGTTCAACATCATGCCAGCAGGACGCTGTTAGCATAACAAATCACGCGTGAACATACGAGTCGCGTAGACCGTGTATCTTTATGCTTCCCATTAGAACTCTTGCTCCTCTTTTATGCTTGCTGTCTGTTTAAGAAAAAATGACGTCCAATTTCTCCCCTTCCCTTCAACTGCCTCAAGCAGTTTGCATTGAAGCTTAACAATGTGCCTGAGTAGCGGAGCAGCGCATATGAATGTGCTTATTTATTCACTTATCCACAAGCTTTTGATACAACAGTAGTTGTCGTGCTGAAATAGTCTCGTCTGCAGTCCATTTGTATGGCAAAGCCGTAGCGATTAAACACTAAGTAACTTTTCAGCTGATCTGCTGGTAAGACAAAGGTCAAATTTTGGGTAAAATTTTACCGAAACCCCTACGATTAGAGACATGCACGAAAAACAGAATATATCGTTTAAGGAGGTTGTAAGTGTCACCTTTGGCTGAGTTATTTCCAAATGCTTTGAAACGAAAAAAAGCATTTTTCGTACTTTAAGGCACATATTTTAATTGTTATCGTGGTATAAACCGAAAAGTGTGTATCTCAATACCAAAATAATGCGAAACCTTTAAAGAGACTTATGTATTCATTGCGACAGGAATTAATGTTATGTTCAAACAATTAAAATTATCTTTTGAGCAATCGCCTTATAATAAGTGAGAAATTTTGTGATCTGGTACCCCACAGATTTTTTATCAAAGGCTACCGCATCCTGTGAAACTTGAGTATGTAGTGCTAACTCGGTCTGAATCCCGTCAAAACTAAACACAATGGAGGGTTTGTGAGTTTTTAATGCGTTTAGTTCTTGGTAATATTTGCACTATATCAGTGACGTATTTTTGATGGTGAGTTTGCATAACCATTCGGATCAGAAATAGTACCCTTCAGTAATTTTAAACATGGTCGCCTTGCCACTTGCAGACCTCAAGTGCTTCGAGCGTAGTTGATGCCATTCACTCATCGGAAATAAGGAGGTCACAAAGCAACCAAATGTCGTCCATCCCTAAGTCACTCACGGAGGCAAAGCGAAGCGCGCCACTCGTCAATGGAGGTGCCACACCTGGTGGTGGTAGTGGCGGTGGCAGCAGCAGTCTCGCCTCTAGAATCCCCACGGCGCCTAATGCATCGAGTGTGGTGGTGGGAGCAGGTGTGGCCGCCAGCCTGGGTCGGAAGACGCGAGTAGCGGCAGTCGCACAGCAGAAAACACTTCTCACCGGTCGTTTGGGGGTCACTTCACCACCTACTCAGAGACCCATAGACTCACACTACGGCAGCGTCCGTCGTACCGAGATGACCAAGGCAATCGGCCAGGTGACTGCAGCTTCAGCGGGGGTCCAAGGTCATCAGGGGAACCAAACCTATACTCTCATCGCCTATCAACCTACCCAGTCTGGTGCGTCAGTCTTCCCAGCTTACATCTATAGCTCCTGTTCTACCTTTATCGTTTATGTACGTGCTGAAAGAGCTTTTTTTTCGTGCCTTGGATTTTTTTCTCAACTTCTGAACGGAAATATTATCACGGAAGCTCGTATCTGATATGTTGGAATCAGGTACAACTCTGTTGCAGCACTCGCGTGTCGACAACATAAAAGCATACGTTTGTGAACTTTTGGCACTCACCAGCTCATAGGTGTTTTCTTTTCCTCCCCAGAGCACAATGCAAGTTGGCAGAACAATCTGGCCAACGACTGCATGCATAAATAAATTGCACTTTTAGACCCAATCATAAAGATCCTAGCGACATCCATCAATTATATTCAACTCAATTTCATGCTAACAATGCATCCATTTTAAGAACGCATTATCCCCTCATCCAATCCACTTAGGCTCAATTAAATTAACTCTATCCCTTGATGTTAATGCTGCCATCGTCCTCCGGTAATGAGTAGTTATATTCCATATTACCTTCGTTAAGGCGTCTTTTCATGTCCTAGACTACTCCAGTCGATAATTTCACCCATCGTTTTACAGACCCTCACCGAAAGACCCAGAACCAACCAGCTGTCCTCTACGCAATTCCCTCGAACCACGCCTTTCTTCAACAGCATCAGATCCATCAAATACTTCAACAGCAGCAGCAACAACAGCATTCCTCACAGGCAAATTTTAAACTGCTCCAGCATGCCATGTCTTGCAAAGTTTCCGGGGCACAAATGAAATTAAATAATTATTTCATCGTGAAATGCAGCTTTTGTCTATTTTGGCTTAGTTAAGGAGGACTTCCATGTCACGGCAAAAGAATGCTCGCCTAACAAACATCCCAGGGGAGTAGAGGCGGCCATTTGTGCTGTCGGTAGTGAAAAGTGGTCTAATGCTTCACGCATAGTTGTTTCTGATGTATTCAATGATGGGCACAAATACCAAAAATTAATAAACTGTTCTTATACATACTCTAAAGGTTTATAACCTCCCTTTGAAAGCTATCAGTATTACTTTGCACAGTTTGTACAATAAAATTATCTCTTTTTTACATAAACAGCATTTTCATGGTAGCTTCTTAAGACAAAATCTTGTGTTTGCACCCTTCCAGATTTTGCATTACTTCATCAGTATTAATTTGATAAATCTCAAAGATTGGTAACTCGTGTGGACGAGTTTCAATGCAGGATTTATTTGAGATATTTGTGAAACAGTCAGCCTCAGCCTTGTCAAATGACCTGAGGATTGTTAAGGCAGTGCCTTAATAGTAATGTGTCACTTTCACATCGTCCTATCCTTTTCACGGTAATTACAGTCACATGAATTGGACACCTTACATTTATTTTACTGTATCAACGAGTTTCAACGTAAAGTGAACATAATTGACGCAAGAACATGCTCGTCTACGCTACTGGGTTCCCTAAAATCATGTGGAACCAGCAATAACTAGACGACCTCCTTTCCGACAATCAAACCTTGAGTACCTTTGATTTGGCGTATTCGATAGTTTTGGAAAAAAGGCACTCATACGGAACTGTGACATTAACTGTTGCGACGAATCGTTGGTTCCCTTCAGTCTATCTCCGGTATTATTGCGCCAGCAGCAGTGTTGATGTCGTCAACACGTCCAGGCTATGCACATGCACACGTCCACGGCTCCAGCATCTGCGAGGCGGGACAGCAGCAACGAACGGCAGTGACGACGTCTTCGACGGCATCATTGGCACCACCAACTCAACGATCTGGAGAATTGGTTTGTACTTGCCCTCCAGAGCTCCATCAAGGTAGTCGAAAATGCTCTTTTTCCACTGTCCTTCCTTAGACACATGATATTAATATGACTTATGCCAGATTTGTGCAAAAGATTTGAAAATAATCCTCTCAAACTTCATGCACGGCATGCGCAGGTGAAAGAGGTTATATTTAATTCGGTCACTAACATTTGTGACAACTCCTCCGCTATTGCAGGTAACGTTTCCGCACCTTAAACATATTTTTCAATCACCTTCACTCGAGGCTGTTGGTAAGGAGGAACTGCAAACTTGATAGTATCGACTATCGTGGCTTGCTTAACGCCATTTTCCTCGACTCATTTAAAAAATTACTAAATTTTAACTCAAGCGCCTGAGCATGTGCATTTCACAGTCCAAACTCAGTTGCTTCCATTTCTAAAATTGGGAATGAAAGTTGTTCTTTATAAAACAAAATATAATGGCATTTGGCTAAGAGCTGATCGGGAGATCCATTCCATATTCACTCGCTGATTCAGATTTCTGAAGACTAGATTGCGGCTGCCCATTAAGCCGACTAAATTTGTACTGGAGGCTCTGCTAGGTTGGAGGAACTTACTGCATTAATCATCGTTTCCTTGAGGGTAGGAAGCAATAAAAAGATCTGTAACGATGTTTTAATATAGTTAAAGGAAATATTTGACGGAGCACGCGCTGTTCGTGCATCAACTCTCGGAGGAAGTTTAGCACTATGCAGGGCACTAAAGTACGCAAGGATATTCACGCCGCACGGCACCAGAGTCAAATGCCTAGCGAACACTCCTGGTTAAAATTTGAGACATTTATAAATTAAACTTATGCTTTGCGGATTGCAATGCGGTGGGTATCACAGTGGCAGGACCCTGCTGCATCATTTCGGTCAAAGTGTAACTTTGTAGTTTATTGGAATAGAAATTCAGTTGTATCTGTCCACCTTGATTAAAAAAGACGGTTTGCATCTCACATAAGGTCTAGCATCATTACCTTTCGTATGCAGTGGCAATGCCATAAGCTAAGAGTGCTTGTTTCATGCAACCAAGCATGTGGGAAGCATTTCGAAAGGAAGCAAAAGGAATAAACCACCTTTTCTTGTTGAAAGCATCAACTTAAGTTGATTTCATTTTAGACCACGACAGTTAATATCGCTTTTCAATTCATTAACCAATAACTTTTGGTTCTTGCCAAATGCAGCTCTTATCGAGCACCATCAACAACGTCAAAACCAACAGCATTCGCAGAATTTTCTCCTGATTAATCGTGATCAAACTCCAATTCAACAGCCGGACGTCACTCAGACAACCTTACATACAGAAAGAAAACTGAGGCAAGTTCATGTCACAATCGACAAATTCTCTAACCCTGCATGCATTTTCGTGGATATAGCACCACCAATTAAGCATACAAGTTGAATTTACTTGTTAAGCAAATTACGCATCCAAATGCATTTTCTTCTGCTCAATTTTGCTTCGCAGGTTGAGAACCGGTTTTGCATTCAAAAGTCCGGTAATTGAATTAAATGTTCATCCTGCTTCTTCTACCACTTCTGTATGTGCTGTTTTAAAATTTTGATTCACCTTTTTTGCTTTGAAGTTAAAAATATTTTTACTCGTTTCCACCTCTAAGTGACACAAGTCAAAGTAGTGTCAGTAGCACATACCATATGTAAAATCTAGCTTGAGTGGTAAACTCTAGTGGTTATGATTGATTGTAATGTGGAAATTATTTGTGCAGCACACCGGATAGCAGTCAGTTGCAGCCCGCAGACCTTCATTGCCCCCAGCGAGGCCGGGAAATGGACGCAGAGTCCCACGTCAACTACTTGGTTACGCTGTTCCAGGTTCTGAGAACCTCCGGCGTTCGAGAGGAATCCTTTGTCAGTGCCTTTCGACTCATGGGGCTGTTACCACAACTTACAGGTGCATTCACATTCACTGCTCTAGCCTATCATCAAAAAGCATCGAGTGCGAATGGTTGTTCTGGCCCGTGACAATCATGCTTGTCTGAAGGAGCTGTCGCATAAGCAATATATGACCTCGAATAACTTGTGTAGACACTAATCCAAGGTAGGGTGATGTAGCATGAGCAATCAAAGTGAATAATGAACTAACATTTATAGGCGGATGGCAAATAAGTTTTCGTCACTTGCTTTCGCATTACGGTGTAGAAGTCAAAGAAGTCCTGTAAATCAATGTAGATAAATAATGCTGGATTCATGAAAAATGATGGTAACATACTGATTAAAAGGTGTTGTGTGCAGGACTCATTGCACTGTATGAAAATTCATCAGTCAATACCATTCTACGTGTCTATAGATGCCCGTCAATTACACCGAGGGTAAGCATAGATGCACTGCCAAGATCTTTTATACTCAGCTTTGCTCTTACAACATTAAACTTTACGACTTAAATTTACTGGCATAAGTTAAGTTCCACTCGCCCATTAGTGGATCAAAATCAGCAATTGACAATAAACGTTTTTACCTGACCTATCCGTCTTCTGAATAATAGAAACAAGCGAATCTGAGAAGTGTACTAGTTCAAATCTAATGGTAGAGCTTTTGACGAAACTTACCAAATAATATAGGTACTTCACTAACAATAACCGCCTAAATGACGTATTAAAGATTTCCAAAAGGCGACTGCTGTTCGTGCGAGAAACGAGTTACAACAAGTTCGTGTCGCGTTATCCGATTTGAGGCAAGAGCAAGTGCAAATGAAAATAGTCTTCGCAAAGGAGATTCAGTGCTGCGAAAGGCAGATAGCCGTGAGTAGCCGCTCTCTGTCGTTTTTTCATTCAAACTACAATGCAGAGGTTTTTAAACCCATCGCGTCGTCTGCCTAGGTGCAGTTAAAGAAGTACGAGCGCAGAAAGGGTCTACAGCAGGCCCAGCCCTTCTATGATACCAGAATACATAAGGTGCGCTCGGACAGACAAAATCTTGACAACGCGCTCGCAGCCTATCAGACGACATGGTCCTCGCTGATTGGCCAATTGGCAGACCTGGAGGGTGTCATTGAGGAGACAGGCAATGATGTGCTCAAGGGTAGATGTCGAATCACCCTTCAAATGGTCAGTGCTCTCGAGGATCGCCTACAACTCGCAACGTCAGCTATTGAATTTTGCTGCGGTGAGTCTACTTTTATGCGATAAGATGGTAAACAGGGTTGAGTTATGAAACAGTTTACTTGTGATTCAAATATTTTATCCGATAGAAAGTGATCCCCTTTTGCGAAAGTCAATTTGGCAACATGCAGAGAATGAAATGGATTCTGCTGAACAGGAAACGCGGTAACTGATACTTGCTGCTCATACATGCACTCAAGCATGCCCTTCACATGGGTGACCCTTTAAGTACAGCACCATATTTGATAATAGAACTTCACACATTCGCAGAAATTATGCATTTATCCGTCTATTGTGTAGCAAAAAATAAAACTATAGCATGCAGTAGCAAATCCCAATATTTAATTCAAAGACGAAACCCGAATGTTCATTTTACCATTTATCCATGAATTTATCCGCGTAGTTCATTAAAACAACGCTTTTCTGCTAAATGTTAAAAAGAGTAAACATTGAGTAATGTTTAGCCTGTTTGTAGAATTCTCGAAGAACAGTTGGAACAGTTAGCAGACTTGCGTGAGCGCAGTGCTAGGCTAAATGGAACAATTACAACACTGAAACGGTGAGCGGTGCACCAACACATCATCATTGTTTACACTTCTTCCAAATGCTTTGCATTTAATGAAGTTATATGGTGTTTCATGAAAATGGGTTGACTGTTTGGACGAGCATCTCTAGCGCACCATTTGCAATCATTAAATATTGTGTTCCATTAAAACAAATAGGCAGGTAGACGATTTGTGTGTTTATTTTTGAAATTCTACTTAATGCATTCATTATTGGTCCGAGGTAAATAAATAAGACCATTTCATTGTTTGCATCGACTTTGGATAAATTATTCCCACTTAAATCATTTTAAGCAGTACTTTTTCAATTGGGTAGATTGGCAAAAGTAAACACAAACACCCGGCAAAACGAACAACAGCTGCAACGCTTGCAATCGCTTGGAGGAATATTGAATCCGACTGCCGCAGACAGTGGAAGCGCTGAAAGGAAACGACTTATGGCCACCATCCGTCTGCTGCAACCTGATCATGATGAGCGCATGCGTAGCATAGAGGTAGTCCATACAACCGTTTAAGCACCCGCTGCGACTCAATAACGCATATCATACTCCAACTTTGTGACTTTAACCTTTGCATGTTCGTTTTAAAACAAAATAATGGATCAGCCACTAGCCAGTCATTTATGAGTATTGTTGATTTTGTTTTAGAGAAGTGATGAAGTTGATATTTTTGGATATTTACGTGCACAAGTGAAATCACCGCCACTCTATTCCATTTTGGTCTTTTTCTTTTTGGGGGAATTAACATTCTCAGGGGGATAGCTTGAACTTTCCTAACCACTCATAACACTTTACGTAGGCTTAAATTTCTCCTTTTTTTCTGTTTGTGCTACTACCAGTGTAACTGCTTGCATAGTCCAAATGGTGGCCTAGACTGGTGCCCTAAATCAATGGTAGACTATGGAAGTTTTGCATTAAAAATAAGGTTTGTGTTGTTTGGATGTTCCTTTAAAAATCAGATTCAAGAAGCCTTACGCGAGAGACGAAAGCGCGTGTTCCGAGACCCTCCTGTGTTTAAAGGACCCGCTAAGGCCCTCCTTCTCAATGGCATTCACATTTCGCCCATTTGGCCAGAGGGCTTTTCGCGAAAATCAAATCGCAACTCAAAACTCACACCGGATCTCCCCGATGTTTCTGTGGCAAATGAAGAGCCGCCTGAAATCTCCAACACTACCGCAAATCTCCCCCAACCACTTCGTCTCCCCCTCTCCACCGTCCTCGTTAGCCGACTCAAAAATCCCAATGCACCCAAATCCAAAAGAAATGTACGTGTGAAATTCAATATGCAAGTCTATGTTGATGGAGAGGACCAGCCACTGCCGCTGAACTACGTTCCTGAAGAAGACAATCCCAGAAGTGCTCGGCGAAAGTCGGCTCCAGCCCTACCCAGTCCAGACGAGGTAACACCACCTGCTCCCCCTCCCCGACTGACTAGCCAATCAGGCTCTGGTCCTCTCACTGAGTCAACAAAGTGTCAGTTGCAAGGCAGTCCTATCAAAATGCTGCGCTATGAAAATATGGACATGTTTTTGAAAAATATTCAACTACCTGTTTCTGGTAAGTATTTAAGGCTGCTGCTACTGACTTTTTAAGTAGTAATTGCGTTTTGTTTCGTTTTAGAGAAGAATGCGAACCTATCTGCTCAAAACTGAATCTGTCTCTTCCAGCAGTATTTCGATAATTACCTCATATAGAACACAACCTTCGTGAAGCCCACTTCTCACCTTACTTCATGGCAATTATTTTATTTCATACTATAACGGTATTATAGACATAATTGTGGCGTCTAACACTACATCTCTGTGTTCTATTTCATACACGGTTTTCTGCTTAGACCTGTAAATGACTGATAAGTACTTTTGAATTTGACCATGACAAATGAAATACACGAATCCTTCTCAATACTTGACTTTGTATGCAAAGTTAATCCGAAGGAAAGAGATATTCAATTAAACCAGATCAATGGTACGAGGATGCTAAAATTAGATTGTTGGTAATGAAATAATCATGATCCCTCCAGAGGTCGCTGATTGATTTTGTGAGGAATTGACTTCACCTCGATCTTTGGTGAAAGTTCTGCTTTTAAAAAGCTTTGTTACTCAAATAGGGGCCGGCGTAATTGACCTTTCCTTCCCTACAACTCCTTGCGCCCTCGTCTCTGCAGTGGCTCCAAACTACTAATGGCTTTATACCTTCTAGACAAGACCCTCAAAATCTACCTCCTTTACTCAAAGTAGCCCCAATTCATCAGAGTACCTGTCACTGTTGTGGATTTGGTTCTGGCTTTTTGCTTAGTGTTAAAAGTTGCATTGTACTGAGCTGTTTGGGGCTGCCAATATGAGCATTAGACCGAGTAGGATGCCCTTCAAATCTTTGTTCTAATCCTACTTAGAAGGCAGAATTGCACCTCATAAACTTAAACTCACCTTGGTCTTACTTACACACCATACCATATCGTGCCGCTACGTTTACGTTAAATTGAGAGTAAAATCGTTTTACCTTGTAGTAAAAACACGCTGACTGCCCCAAATGGGCATTTTTGATGATATCATTATTCACGGTGCTGGTATTAAAGTAAGAAAGTGAGATTGGTCTAGCAAAGGTGAATATTACAGATTTTTATACGTCTCCAAAAAATAAGCAAAAGATATATCCTTTTCTTGTCGATCCTAAGCACGAGACTGCACGTATGAAAAGCTCAGTAAGCCTAGGACGTTTTGTAATTTTGGATGTTTCATAGACACACTTTGTCCTGCTCAGAGCACTTCATTCACCACAAGTTTTTTATAATTCTGCACATTTCTCGTCTGTTTCGTAAAGTTGCGCGTTTTCTTACGTCATCTTGCCAACAGAGAAGCACATTGCATACCAAATCAAATCTGTCAATGTTAGCTGACAGTGCGCTCTCACATGCTTTCATCTTGAGTCTTCCGTCTTCCTTTCCTTTTTATCGCCACCCAAACCTTTGGACTATACCACGGAAAACTGTTTTAGCAAATTTTATGTCAACACGAAAGAAAATTCGATCCAAAAAATTTATTCTTATTCATGTATTGTGAAATTTAATGCCTGCAGAATAAGTTGGTCCAGCAAGAACTTCCAAACCCCTTAATTTCCACTACTATTCGTTTCACTCCATGGGATTTGCTTAATCTAAGTTCAGCAAAATCTTCAAGTAATTTATAGTGCCAGTAAAGGGGACATGAACGTCAAAAGTGAAATTAAATCGAGATTTGTCTAATCACATATAATGATAAGTCATTGAAACTGCATTAAACCAATTATAACCATCAAAACCTGAAAGTTTCAACGAGCACAATCAAGTCCTTTTAGAGTGGACCTTTTCATTTGCACTGCCTTTGGTCGGCATCCTATCGACACCTGACTTTGTTTAGTGATGAGGCCTTTTGATGGAAAGGAAAGTGTCATCATAAAATGCCGAGGGAGAGGCAGATTTATTTTAGCACTTATAATGAAAATCAAACTCTCGTCGCAGGATCACTGAAAATAAGAGTTTTACCAGATCACGCTGCTATACGAAGACATTAAGCCCTCATTCGCAGGAGTGAGCCTAGTGGCAGAGAGTGTTGCTAGAGGGCAAATATCATTGTGCTATGAAGCTAAAAGCAGAGCCTTTCGATAATATCTGAAGTATCTTCACGTGATTGACCCCAAAATATATGCCTCAAGGCAAAGTAATAAGTCGGCAAAGTGCACTTCATTGTAAGCTGTTTCATTAAAATGAGGTGAAGCTTATTTTTGTGAGAGTTGCTTAACTTTTGTACTTTATTAAACCAATCTTGACGCTTTCAGGACAGAGTAACACGATGCATCTTGGAGGATGATTGACTTTTACCAATTAAACAATCTAAATTCGAAAGTATTTTGAGATAACTCGAATGTCTCCGTCATGCCGTATCCGCTAGGTGGATTACAAGAAACAATGCTATTGCATAAGGTGGCGAAAATTAGTACGTTTTGGCAAGAAGTGATCATAGTGAATAAATTAACCAGGCCATACGCTTATGCGCTATCTGACCTTCCCTTCAATCGCTGTGAGAAAAATAGCCCTTTTACTGAGGCTTTTGGATTTCCAAGGATCTTTTATTAGGAATCATTTCTGTTCCCTCGGTCTCTCGCCTTTAGGTGCAACTAGATTGTAAAGATTCTCAAGGTACCCACGAAGGAAAGCACCAGCCTTAATTGAAGGAAACGACGTTTGTACTAATAGTGTGTTTGTATGAGGTTTGCTTCAACGTCTAAAGGTGTGGAAATGCAATTATATTATACAGCCACGGGCACAGCAGAGCTGTTTGGCTACTTTCTTATCAGTAGAAGTTCCAGCTGTTGTGCGAATATCTTTAGAAAACTGAAAATGAAATAGGAACAGCTGATGCTTCAAGATAATCACAATGTAATGTACCAAGAAAATTGAATTCGTTGGAAAACGGCATAAAAGACTCGAGGGCCAGACAAGAACAAACTGTTGTTTAGGGTCAGCGTAACAAATTTACGTTATTGGAAGCAACATTACTACAGTACTGGCAGTTTTGTTCGGGTCTTGGTTCGTGGAAGGCTTCTGATGCGTGCGGAGTAGACCATAAACCAACTGGGGACGCATTTATTCACTTTGTCTACCAAACTAAAGGGCAACATTCATGTGGAAAGGAACAGAAGATACCCCCAAATGCATACTAAAATCATCAAATAAGGTAGAACCGTTTGCTTTCAAGTTACACTGCAGCGACCGCTATTTCTCTTCGACACAGTGTAGACGGATGTTTAGGCTGGGCTACTGAGGAAAGTTAGACTGGCAAAGCTGTGTCCCAAGGCTGAGTTGACATTTATCGTAGTCGATCATTACCAAAAAAACGTGAATTAATTTACTGATATTTGCTTCTTCTATAATAAAAACGTGCCAGCTTCTTCGAAGATAAAGTATGTCGAATTAAAAATAACAAAGTATTTCGCATCATCAAGGTGTAAACTATGGTCACAGTGATTGAGGATGTTTTCTCCAATCTCTACGCCATTTTGAAAAACTATATCAAACTGTACCAACTGCTTATTCAACCAGTAAAGTCCTTCATTGACTTACCTACTGCCATTATTAGCTAGAATAGTGAGATTGAGGAAGCAAATTTTAACTCATCCTGTACACCAGAATAGTCAAAAGCTTTATCGGTGATGACACTTGCTGCATGCAAATGGAGCTGATCAAGCATCGATCTTGCAATTGCAGATCCACAAAATGATGCGAGAGTTGACTCATAATTATACTTATGGATTTGAAAATACTCGCACTTGTAAGCTGCGATGGAATGTGGCGTGGAAGGAGAGCAAGACAATCTCTTTTGCCCTACAACATAGACTCGTTCCAGTGCCACTTTTCAGGACCCAACATCGACAGTGTTTTCATGTGCACATACGAAAAATCGCCATAGAGCTGCTAAACTGCGATTTGTGCTAAGTGAACAACGCTACAACAATTAGCCGCATTAGACAATAGTGCTAGCCTCTGGGTTCGCAAACGATCGGCTAGTTGATCGCTCGGTAAAACCGAACTTTGAATTCTCCACGTTGATTATTGCACAAATTTCGAGGTGCACAGACCAACAGCCTTCAACTTCATTTGTAGTCTCTGGTAGAAAGAATGCTATCTGTGTGACATACAAAGTCAATTTTAAAAGGAGACCCCTGATGTGATGGCAGTTTCGGGTTAGTGGCACCATTTTTGCAAAATTCAATGCTAATTGTGCAGCATTCGAACATCTTTAGAATACCCGGTCTGGATCCACCTGTTCTACCTTGTTCGTAAAAGCTGCAAGATTGTATGCGCCTGAAGAAGCAGGTAGACTATATTTTGAGTTGTCCACACCCAATTATGCTTCAAAATCAAATGATTGTAACAGGAATATGGTCATGCAGACTATATCCCATGGCCGAATTCGCATTCGTGAGTGCTTTTGATGGAGATTTATGAGAAAGCTAAAGGTCCCATGCGTACACCCTATTGCACTTACTGTTCTACAGCATTTATCCTCAAGCGATGGCCAAAAGACCAGCAAATGTCCCGTTCATTTGGATTGGATTTCGTTCCTGCCAATTGGCACAAATTAGTGTGTTAATAATAGCGTTGAGATTCCCTTAGGTCATGTGCGGTCTTACTTCATTCTCCCTTTCCTACAAGTTGCTCCTGACATTATCTCATTCTATATGCATTTCATTCAAAATAATGGCTACTAAAGTGATACGGTGTTTTTAAAGTCTGCTTTCCAAGCATTTTGCCCATGTGTAAAGTAGCAGATGATTTACGTGGCTAGGAGCCTTCAGCTGCCATGCCTATTGACACTCGCATCCATTTACACATCCCCGTTGAAATGGAGATACACGAAACGCATACATCTCTTCTTTCCATAACCCGATACTTCAGCAAATTACACAACTTGAGAGAGCAATTGCCACGCAATTGTACTGAAATAGAAAACTTTGCTTCAGCACGCTTTGACGCATTGTTTGTGGGCTGGATCCTTCAACGGTCATTGTTTAAACAATGTGCATTTTGCTTAACACGTTTCGTACGCCAGCTTCACGTCCCAATTCAAACACTTTCTTCCCTTTCTATACAAAAATAGTGCTTTTCGATGTTTTG